TAATCATTATCATCCTTACCAACTCTATCTTCCACATTCTTCCCCTTCTCTACTCGTTTGAGTACAGATGCTATTGAATTATTTTCTTATTAGCATTTTTTTTATTTTGCTAGTCTACATAACTAAGCAGTTTCATTCAAGCACATTTTTTCAATATTGCTGTATTCATTTATTAACTTTGTCAAAACCTTCACAAACCCTACCATCTATCGACGCATCAACTATGCCTCAGCAAAAACTTCACCATGAAAATTAACTTGAAATAAAGTTCAAAATTAAATTCACTTCAAGCTTGCAACAAGTTTAAATGTAATTATTATCTTCAACATTACCTGTAAGCCCAACCATTTTCTTACCATCAACTTTAGTATTACAATCAGTTTAAGCAATAACTTAGCTTTTCATTAACTTTAACAACCATGCTGACACCTGCAACATTAGCATCATGCTAAATTCATCGATGGACTTCAACATTAACGTTATTAAAAACTTTAATTTTACTAAAACACATCAGAATCTTGAAATACACATCATTATTTAAATCCAGATCATAATTTACATCAGCTTCATCATTGTTCTGTCCATTAACTACAACATAATTATTAACTATCATTATTTGATTTCCAAATTACTTGAAACTTCATCAACTAGCTTCTACAACCAATCATCATCAACAGTGACCGACAATAGTTTGACTTTTGTGATTATGATATCCTCATAAAAAAAATCTACGCATTTCACCTCATCATCGAATTTAAGAACCGTACCGACAACTGAATCCTCATGCAATTTTGGCTTCATCCGGGACTTTACTTTTACCACCGCTGATCTAATCATCATTAATAACTGCTTTAAGATAGTTATCAACTATTTCCAAAATACTACATCAGCTGTTAATTTTCAGAACTATTGGCATCAATTCCAATATTATCAAACTTCAACATTACTATCACTTTCAACAATAGGACCATCTTGAACATTACCATTAATTCCATAACTATTTATCAACGTCGTCAAAACATCAACATTAGCACCATTTTTGATAAATCTATCTACTTCAACATGAACCTCAATTTACACGTCCTCATCAACTTCAAATAAAAATCAGCTTACATAACGCCACCAATTTTAACGTAAAATTTAAATCATTCTAATCATCTTCATATATACATTTTTTAAATAGCTGGAATCTTTTTTTTCTCTTTTCTATAAGGACTATTAATAGCTTCAACAAATTAAATCTCTTAAATTTTTAAATAACTTCAACTTTGCCGTCAACATCATAATTTCCGTCACACTTGAGACTCATTAATAAAGCTGTTGCCTCAACACCACCATGCACTTTGACATTGTCATATACTTCTTCATCACTCTCATTTTCAATATTACTGACAAATCCATCATAATCATTAACTTTGATATTGTACTAATTTTCAACATTACTACCAAGTTAACGTAACAATCAATTTCGATAATATCATATACGTCATCAGTCATCTATTTTATTGTTGCTGTGAACTAATAGCATTTTAATTAATATCAGTTCCATATTTGCATCAACTTCAACTCAGTAAATAATTCAACGTTATCTTCAACATCAATATAACCATACACTTTAACATCATCATCAACTTCAAATGAACCATTATCTTCCACATCATCATCAACGCTAATACGCCTTTTTAATGCACCACCAATGTAGAGTGCGCCACGCGAGTTCGAGAAGAAACGTCAACCAAACCGTTTGTTTAGATCAGAATAAGTATTTTCTCCAACGCAAATAACAGCATTTTCCATTCAAAATCTTGCCAATTTCCATCGGTAATTGTCTTATTGTACGATTTTTTCAACAAATCTGAACTGATTTGCACCTTAATTATTCACACACAAGAAATCCGGAAGATCATAACCACTAAGGCACTTTTCTAATTTTCCATTTTTTTTCAACTAAAATATTCCTGAACACCAGCAGGATCTTTTCAAAAACGTTACAGAATTAAATTTTTCAACTGCAGATTAAGTTTTGCAGCATCTCAGATGAATCAATTTATCAGGAAAAGTAAAAAAGTGTTCCGCTTCTATGTCTCAAGGCAAAAATTTACGTTCACAACACTCTTTTTGACGTTCTCCTATTCACCACCAGAGGTTGAATCGATCGTTTAGTTTCTATTAAAAAGGCCTATATTGAAATTGACGTTGACTTCGTCGATTCATTACAAGCGACCACAATAATGTCAACAATTTCAACACAAAATCATCAATCCAAGCATCAACCTTACCGCTGACATCGCCAAAACATCGCCAGTAAATTCAACAAAACCATCATCCTTAATGAGACAACATCAACAATATCAAACTCTAACATTCAGAATAATTGACGCAAAAATATTATGTTAGTCTCAAATTCAATTCTACCATAAATATCATCATAACCCAAAAAAAAACCATTCTGCAGAAGTTATCAACATCATCATAAATTTAAATATTAACATCGATTTCAATAATACCATGAACTTCACCCTTTGCATAAACTTTAACATTACGCCATCAACTTTACATCACTGTTAACTTGAACATTGCCGTTGAATCACATCCAATATTGCCGTCAGAAATATCATCTTTTAATGTCCATTGCAATCATTACTTTCAAAAAAATCAACAATTCTCGTCTACCAGCCTATTTTCTTCAAGCCTACCGGTGTCACGTTTTCTATACCTCCCGGCTTCCCATTGTTCTTCCAGCTAGGGAGCCCACGGGGAAATTTTCCGTTCTCCAGAGACATGTTCTCCTTCATGTTTCATATAAATAAAGAGCTACTCTTTTCCAGCCCTCGGCCTACTCCACTGCCCTTCCGTCAGGGAGCCTACCGAGGACATGTTCGTATTTTTCATTCTTTTGTTTTAGTCTACCGGCCTACCCCACTGCCCATGCCGTCAGGGAGCCTACCGGAGACATTTAATCTTTTATTTTTTTTTTTCTCTAATCCACCGCCCTTCCGTCGGGAATTGTTGTTGTTTTTTTTTTTTTGCATCCCGTCCAACCAGGGATCATTTTTAACAACTCCGCCCTTCCGACAGAGAGTTTTTTTTTCACTATACTTACTTTCACACATGATAATCTACCGTCTGCGCCATTATCATCCTTACCAACTCTATCTTCCACAGTGCAGATTGCTCCCTTTTGTACAACGTTGCGCCCGGGCATCGTCATGTCGACCACCTGCTAGGATTTCCTCGGCGGAAACCCATTCCATTTGCAAAAATAATCCGCCGACGTTGACTCTCTGACTCTTACTAGCAGACAACTCTGGAGTAGCATCATAGCATAGCTACGATATAAAATTTAAAATAACAACTATTGATGTTAATAAACATGTTTATGGACCTTTCAAACTGTTGTTAAAAACTTTCAAGTAATATAAAGTAAGTAATATAGGCATATAAAATCGAGTTTAATATGAAAATGGAAGCTTTAATATTAAACATACTTGTTTTTAAATTAAAATCGTTCAAGTATCACCTCGACAGTCCTACATTTTTAGTTTGACATTTCTACAATTGGGTTCTTTAATTTTGAAAAATATGTCGGTCATACATCATCTGAAAAGGCGTCGTAATCTGAACACAACGATATTTTTTTCGATCCCATTTATTTCCATCTCAATTTTTAAATCAAGATTTAAGGCAAAATAATCACTTCACTGTTTGACACAAAACTAACAAACTGACAGCTCGTTCCCATACGAAGTACGTACCATCGAGGGGTGCTAAGATGGTGATTTTAGCTTATGTAATCACACTTATTTAAAATAGTTCCAGTGCTCCAAAATTGATGAAATTTTGGATTTTGATTCCATTTGTAATGCAGATATCGAATATGCAATTACCTCAATACTTTTTAAAATATGAATAAGTGACGTTTTTGATTTAATAACGTGGAAGCTTTTACTTTGAAATGTTTCCGCTTTCTACCAAAAAGAACCAATGCAAACTTTAAATTTCGCCAATGACTTTTTTAATTTAGCTAATGAATTTTCTTTGTGTGTACGATTACATCTCGGATTAAATCAGGCATAACATTTGATAACGGCACAAAAGCATTTGTAAACAAACTTTCTAAGGCCCTTTACACGCGAACCAAAGTACGCCCACGCAAACCAACAACATCATCGGATAGAGGCAACTATCACCTTTCCAAAAGTGGTATTGATTTGCGTGAGCATACACAGAAAAAAAAGTTGTTGAATATTACATCCAAACTGCTGCAACCAGGTCAATCCATCGGTTGTGTAATATAACGTTGTACGATGTACATCGATTTTGCGAACAAAATTACATCCGTTGATATAATATTGTATCTGCTTTTTGCTATTACATCATTATTTCATACATCAGCTTGAATTACATTGATCGATATTACATTTTTTTTTGCTGTGTACTTTCCCTAATAAAAAATAACCATAAACGAACGATAACCCAAATCATTGAACTATTCCACAAATGGTTTGGATGATACCCAGAACACGTTGTTAAGCAAATTAACCATACAATTTTTATTAGGGTTGGTTTGCGTGTAAAGGGCCTTAGAAAGTTTGTTTACATATCCTTTTGTGCCGTTATCAAATGTTATGCCTGAAATTACATCTATGAGATCAAAAAAATATCGTTGTGCTCAGAAAACGAAACTCTTTCAGATAGATTCAGATGATGTATTGTACGGCTTATATTTTTTATATTGAAGATCCCAATTGTAAACAAACAATGAGAAAGTCACGAACGAGTTCGCTTTATTGCTAAAGACACCAATTTGTGAGCGGTGTTGAGAGGATGTAAACAAAGTAAATAATGTAATATTTTTCAAGCACCGCACCATTCTGGTTTCGACAAATTTATCTTTTTTTACCAAAGCAGATACGTCCTTTTGATAATTCATTCTTGGATTGGTATTTGCTTTGAATTTTATCACATTTTCCGGCAGCACTGCCTTCTAACATCCGCATCGACCGAAACGCACAGCTGTCAAAGTTTGCGTTTCGGTACTTCCTTCTATCATCGACTGTCGTCGGGCGGACGTTCTTTCCGAGTACATTTGCCAATATGGTAGGTTGTGTTCAGTGATATTTTGGTGAAATTTAGCTACTTTTAAGGTGTAAATGCGATAAATTTTGGTAGTAAATGGTTAAATGAATGATTTCCTGTTGGGGAAATGTTTGATTCTTAAGTGGTGTGTCGGAAAAACCTAGAAATTATAAAAATAACTTCACAGGAGCAAAGTGACGACCTGGATCTGTTTCCTCTGCTAAATTTGTTTATGGATTGTAGTTTGTGCATGTGGTAAAGAAATATACCAGAATTGTTAGTTTAGAAGTGAATCCCAGTTCTAGTTCGAATTAATAGTGTACAAAACGGAAATCTACGGTTTAATTGGTGGATTATCACAGTCGCATTTACACCACTCATCTGTGCCGATGATACGAAGAATGGTACTGACTGACGTTTCACTTTCCTTTTGTTTTAGCCTCCGAAGAAGGATACCAAGGGTTCGGCAAAACAGCCGCAGAAGACCCAGAAGAAGAAGGAGGGGTCCGGTGGCGGTAAGGCCAAGAAGAAGAAGTGGTCCAAGGGAAAGGTTCGCGATAAGCTGAACAACCAGGTCCTCTTCGATAAGGCCACATATGAGAAGCTCTACAAGGAAGTACCCGCCTACAAGCTGATCACCCCGTCGGTAGTGTCCGAACGTCTGAAGATCCGTGGTTCTCTGGCCAAGCGCGGTCTACGGGAGCTGTGCACTAAGGGTGAGTTGAAATGTTTGATAATCTTGCATCTTAGACCCGGTTCAGAGGCAGTTCACTTCGAGCAGCTTTGGAGTGTTTTAGATAATGTCATTAAGTACATTTATTTAAAGAATAAGCTATTGGTGTATAAATTGTAAATTATTAATCAACATTATTGCAAAAATTAATATTGATCAGAAGTTCAATCAAAGCAATATGTGCCTTAAAATACGAGGAAAGTAATCAGTTACTTTGCAATGTGGTCAATTTACATTCTATAACATTTTAACGACTTTAAGGACAGCTTATTTGTTTAATTAGAGTCATAAACTTCGAAAAAAAAAATGATTTAATCGCAAACATAAACTTAAACATACAAATCAACATTATCAATAATAATTGATAGGAGATTGTCTCCTCTATCCGATGGTGATGTTACTTTGCGTGGTTATAATTTAATGGTAGTGAAAAAATAAACAGTTACGACATATCGAGGAGTACATAGCTGTATTCAAATAAACGCATAATTTTGGGGCTAGGACTTCCAGCAACTATCAATAGGAGTGGTGATTGTGAATACACAAATAAAAAATGCCACCATTCTATTTCTAGGTCTGATCCGGATGGTTGTTCACCACCACGCTCAGGTCATCTACACCCGCACCACCAAGGGAGACGATCCAGTTGCGTAAATGCTGCTAGGTCAAGTATTGTTAACCGAGATCCTATGTTAGGTGGAGAAGTGCTGCGTGTGTACGAAAAACTGGCTCGATCGCCCATGTTTTGCGGTACTTTCTGACGGAAGGGGAAAAACTTTTTTGGGATTCGCCAGCAGGATGTAAAGAAGGTGAAAATGCGAAAGAGGAGATAATATACTTATTTCTAAGTACAAAAATATGGTGTGCGTTCGTTGTGTTGTGTAATTCGATGACATTCTTCTATTATATTTGAACTGAAATGCTGTAGTACTGTACATGTAATTATGATGTTAAGTATCAAGGTAGAATGGGCGTACAGTATAATATACATTATCTGATTAGGTATAATAATTATCTGAAGTGATTGCCCATGCAAAATATCATAATATATTTTGCATGGGCAATCATTTCAGGTTAATTGCTAGGCCTCGTATTTAGAATGCTGATTTACGCTTATGTTACAACGAATCTCGATGGTTATCTCAGAATAGGTTGGTTTCGATAATCAGAATCAGAGGGGATTTCACATGTTGCGATGCAGTCATTTAAAAGTTGCCATTTTCATTTTTGGCAAATCAAAGTGATAAAATTTTCATATTTTTTTTTATTTCGGCCCTTTTACAGTCTTTAATACATTTTTAAAATATATCACTTTTTGTTCTTATTATTGAGGATTTTCGTCATCAACTGATGCATTCACCTGTCGTTAATATAGTCGATATATTCATATAGTCCGGCGGATAGAATCTCGGGAATCAATTGAGCTGTCAAATAGCAGAACCAATCGAGCAAATCACGACCAACAACAGAAAAGAGCACATCAGCTATTGCGAACGAAACTTCGGAAACCCTTATCTCGTGACTCCAGGCTCGCCTACGCAAACTAACGCCATCTTTGGGTTGAAAGTTTCCCCTATCCGATGATGCCGGTAATTTGCGTTCGATTGGCGACGGAAGAATAATCAAAGTTTTGTTTATAAAAGTAGATAGTACCTTTTAAATTATTGGTCTAAAATATATTGAATTGGTTCCGCTTTTTGATAGATCAAAATTCTATCCGCCAGATTATGAATATAAACAACCCAATTGTGATGTAACGAACCAAAAGTTTGTTGGAATTTAACTAATAGCCCAAAAATAAAATAATTGTTTAGTTTAAAATTATGATTTTAACTATGAATTGAGTTAACTGTTCCCTGTCCAAGGATGAGGGGCTTGATGATGATTTGTTAAGTGTCGCTATGATTTTTTTTAATTTATTAAAATTCTAGTTTTTCTTCAGTTCATTGATTTGAACGGTTCAAGCGAGTTAATTTCACGGAGCCGTAAATTGTATTTTTATAATAATTTTAATATTAGCATAAAATAAAATAGTAATTTTAAATTCGCTTTTGTAATGCTAAGGTAAATAGTTTGCTTTGAGTGTAAAGTTAATTTATAAGAAAGTTCTAACAGTTTTTTTTGCACTTCGAAACTTGACGGGTCATACCTCTAACATAGTAGCAGTGACAGTGTCGCATGTCCTAACAACAACTGCCTGCGACTAGTGTTCAAGGGGCCGACAGGGCTGAATAAGGGTCAATACTAACAAAACTAGAACACTAACATGACCCCGAAACTAACGTTCATCCATTGCACTAATAGTTATAACACAGACAAACAGACATAACACTCGCAAGTTGTTCATCGAACAAGCATTTAACGGTCAATTTAAAAGTATCGTAGTTGGTAGTACCGCCACCTGTGGCGCGCATAGTCAATTCCCTTGCGTTTGACGTTTACACACTACCGCCATCTGTTCAGCGTACTACCCACCACAGTGTACTCAACAGATGGCGGTAATGTTTTTGCGACGATGTTTTACAGTGAGAAATATTCAATGTGTTATGTCTGTTTGTCTGTGGTTATAATGTAGTTGTACTTTCCTAATAACCCATCTATCACAGATAAACAGACATAACACTCGCAGGTTGTTCATCGAATACGCATTTGACGGTCAATTTTAGTGTTTTTGGTTGGCGGTGCCGCCACCTGTGGCGCGTACGGTCGGTTCCCTTGCGTTTGACGTCTGCACACTAGCGCCATCTGTTAAGCGTACTATCCATCTCGTGATACTCGACAGATGGCGGTAGTGTTTTGTGACTATGTTTTGTGAAGAGAAATATTGAATGTGTTATTTCTGTTTGTCTGTGCATCTATGTTTCTTTTTCGTTGTGTGTGTGTGTGTGTGTGGGGGGGGGGGGGGTTAATGTAACCAATACTAATACCTTTCTCTCTGTTCTTTTATTCGTTTTCTATATCCCTTCACCATCACCCCATATCCCATCATCTTGACGAGAGATGAGTTACTTGCATGATGCATGCCCAAGTCGTACTACAGGATAATATGCTGAGCGTGGTTCTATCACAATAACCACGCAGGAACGCAAATCGATACAGCTGAAGATTAATGAGGTAAATTCTACACAGTCAAAGTGTTTTTTATGTTACTTCATACGCGAAGTTAACGATTTTCAGAGTTGGTTGGAAATGCTAACATGAAGCTTTAGTGTAATGATTTATTAGCTAGAGAATGATCTTTAGAAGAGGGTAGGTGGATAGTTCCGTTAGAGTACGGCAGTATGAAAATTGAATAGAAGTTGAAAATGAGCGAAGGGCCATTAAAGCGACAGTTTTCAAGCAACACAATAGTTGGGTAAAGAAGAACTGCATTATAACACACCATCGACTGGAAATGCTCTCGCAACGTGGGGCTTTAGGTAGTGATGAAAACGTCGCTAGAACTATTCCACAGCCGCAGTCAGTTTATGAGCAACAAGAGGGACGCACATTTTTGCCTGTGGACTTGGAGACATACTTCAAGTCCCCGCGTACATCGTACGGGCTAGGCAAAAATGTGCGTCTATCTTGAAAACTGTCGCTTTAATGGCCCTTCGCTCATTTTCAACTTCTATTCAATTTTCATACTGCCGTACTCTAACGGAACTATCCACCTACCCTCTTCTAAAGATCATTCTCTAGCTAATAAATCATCACACTAAAGCTTCATGTTAGCATTTCCAACCAACTCTACACAGTATTTTAAAGGAGCCAACTCTAAGCAGGTAATAATAGCAATTAATAATCAAACAACCATAAAAAGGTAAGAATGAATTTATTTATTTTAAATACAGTAATGACGCGATTTTGTCAGCCCCTCCGCGCTTCAGACTTTTTTCTTTCAATAATTTCACATACCCATAAATCCAATTTTTTCTCATTCATCGTCAAGAGGGATATTTTTTAAAGTATACTTTGGTGTAATAGGTTCAAAAAGATTACTGAAAAAGGGCATGGGTTTTGTAGAACATTGGAATACATTTTCAAAAAAGGAGGCTGACAAAATCGGGACATTACTGTATTCCATTTACATTTACATGATTTATCACATATTTCCGGAGATCTTCGAGGTTGGAGCGTAGTTGCTTTTGTAGATGGGCTCGTCATTTGCCGGTTTCTCGCGAATTGGGGGCTCAGTTTGGAAAAACTAATAACACAAACAGGTAGAGGAATATTTCCTCTATGATTTGGTATAGTTTGTTTGCAGGATTGTTCTTTTGTTCGCGGGAGACCGGTGATTGGCCTGTTTGTTTGCAGGGGCGATTGCGCCCGGATCTCGGGGTTCTCCGGATTTATGGTCGTAATCTAATACACACAGTTGATCACAATACGAGCCTAAAAGCTGCTGTGACCTAGTGAGCACCATAGCTCGAGTCGTCTGAAAGTATTGTGTATCGCATGGAGAGCCCAACCGAGATGCTAGCCTATTAAGACTGCAGTTGGTCAACTCTCGAAAAAAAAGTTTTTTTTTTTTTTTTCCTTTGGTTTGTTTTTTCCGTCGATCTTGTTTTCCGTGCTGAGCACCAATGCTACCGACGTGCCAGGAAGGCAGCTCCCACACCTGGACCCTACCTATCGACCCATCAACTCATGAACCGGGGACCAACGGCTTTACTTCCCATCCGAAGGAAGGCGTGATCAGAGATGTTATGCCTCAGAACATCCCGGCGGCGCCGACTGGGATTGAACCCAGGCCTGCTGGGGTGAGAGGTAATCACGCTTACCACTACACCACCGGCGCCGTTTGAAAAAAAAAAAGTTGGAAGGGTTGTATACTAGATACGACCGCAGGGTTGGCGTTGGATAACGTCTGTTAGGTGTTGTACTTAATTGTGTATATTATATTTAAGGAATATTCCTTAATAACTCTTTTGCGAAAGTTTGGTGGCCCTAAAATGGGCCGTTTTGTTTGGCTGATGTTGTTGACAATGATGGAACGGGCGACCTTGTTGGACGCTTATATAGTAGAACAGATAATAAATATCAGAGGTGTCAGATACTCGCATACGTACGTTAAACTCTTTCTTGATAATGTTGTGGCCCTGAAAAGGGCCATTTTCCAACGCGCTCGGCGTAGTTGCCCTTGCGGAGCAGACGATGAATACGACCGACTGAGAACTGCAGCAGCTGGGCATTCCATGACGGCGGCCCAGTATACCGGAGCACTGGCACCAACGCACTCGGCGTAGTTGCCCTTTCGCCCCCAGGCTCTGCTGCCGCTGCTCTGCTGCCGCTGCTCTGCTGCCGCTGCTCTGCTGCCGCTGCTCTGCTGCCGTTGCTCTGCTTCCGCTGCTCTGGTACTGCTGCACTGCTGCTCTGCTGCTGGGTCGACGATCGGATAGACAATGATGGAACGGGCGACCTTGTTGGACGCTTATATAGTAGAACAGAAAATATCAGAGGTGTCAGATACTCGCATCTGATGTCTCGGTTGGAGAAAGTATAAGAATATTAAAAAAATCAATCGATTTTCACCATCTTTAGACAATGGTTTACTTTTAACCATTTTTCAATAGTTTACAGAATGAAATCAATAGTTTTGAAACATTCAGCAAATTGCTAGAAATATTTCCAATCGATTGATGCCATTATCTCGTCAATCTATCGAGAGACGGTTGAGTTATTATCGTTCAAAATCTTTTAATTTTTCGTAACGCATCCAAAATGACTGTTTTCAATTTTGTACCCCTGTATGTTGCCGAAAGACGTTATCCAACGCAAAAAAAAAAAAAAAAACTATGAATTGAGTTAACTGTTAGAAGGAAAGGGGTGTAAGTGATTTTGATCGATTCTCTTCATCGACTTTCTCTTTCGTTAATAATTCAGCTGCAATTCTTGCGTCACTTTTCAAATAGACCAATGTAACAAATGTAAACAAATCGAATTAAGCGATACAAACTATTGCTCTTCTATCATTGTATGTGATACAAAAACATCCATCCAAATTCGCTTTCATTTATTTAAAATAATCATTGATCAAAAATTGTCCAATGTACAGTTTGAAATGATGGGTATAGGATTGTTACTTCGGTCATTCGGAGGACTGCCTAACATGATTGGTGCTCATTTTCCAAAGGCGGGGCCAATCTAAAGTTAGGTATTCTACTCTGAAATCTGTGTAAGGGAATCTAGTATCATGTAGACAAAACATCCAATGTAACACTAATTGATTATGTCATTGAGAAAAATCGTCCAATGTAACATGTCCGATGTACAGCTCGACTAGTCTTATGTGGTTTTTCTATGTTGTAGCATGAAATTCAAAGTAAAATTGTTATTTTACCGTTTCTTCTGAATTTTCAACGTTATTATACACTGACTACATTAAAAATAGTATTGCAAAATGTATTGTTTTTAAACAGTTAAAATAATAATCTGTCGAACTTCATCTTCGATTTTCTCAAAATGGTGGATAATGTTACATTGGTCTATTTGAAAAGTGACGCGAGAATTCTTGATTCGTGTGTCATTCTGCATGCTAGATGAGAACCTCCTTTATATCAAACTATGGGGCAGGGCGATATGGCAACCTGGCAAGGTTGCAACACCTTGCATATGGGGGGTATTCATTGGATGAAAGGGATCGTGAAAGAGTACACTACAATAGAAAGTTTTTTCTTTCGAATGTTTGCCGATGGGTTTGGTCAGAATGTTTATATTTTTTTTATTATTATTATAGTCACTTTAACACTCTTGGGTCATTCGCGACTTGTCCGGGGGTGAGATTTGAACTCGTAACATTGGCGTGAGAGGTATGGATGTTAACCACTACGCCGGGGTCGCCCCCTAGAATGTTTATATGAAAAGAATAGAAATTTTTGCAGAAAATTTAGCCTTCATTAAATACGTTTGTCAATGTTTTTAGTTAACAAAAATGTAAAAAAATGGTGAAAAATCTAACAATTTACTTATATGTTTTCTGTTCATAATCATTTCAATCCACAACTGATTGAAACTTGCAGACGTCTCCATAATAAGCCTCGACTTGTAACTCTAAAGGGCCACCCACATTAGATCCGTTTGCGTTGCGTTGACGTAAATTCGACAGTTAGACAATAGATTTAGTTGTCACTTTGCCGCAACGCGTCCGACCCGGATATAATGTGCGTGGGCCTTAAGACCAGAAGGTCCCAAAAAACTCATGCTCACCCGCATAAGCGCGAACCATAAATTGACCTTACCTAAAATGGTTAAAATTGTTTATAATCCTTGCTAAACTTCAACTGAAATGGTTATGGAACTTTACATGAACGTTTAATGATAAAGTTTTAACCTTAAGTATTATAGTTTTTTGGAAGTGGACCTTACAAATAATGGGTTGTTAAGAACCATTACCATTCAAAATTCTTGTTTTCTCCATACATTTTCGGAAAGAAAACTATACTAAAACCTTTTAACTTATGGTTTGAGAACATTAATGGTAATGGTTATGGTAACCAGTAAGGTCCATAAATGGTTTTGTAACATCGATCAACTTTATGTGGAATATATCGCGAATTGGTTGCCTGTAAATTACTGATTACCAATTCACGATATATTTCACGTAAAGTTGAGCGATAATACAAAACCATTAATGGACCTTACTGACTACCATAACCATAACCATTAATGTTCTCAAACCATAAGTAAAAACGTTCTAATATAGTTCTCTTTCCGAAAATGTATGGAGAAAACAAGAATTTGGAATGGTAATGGTTCTTAACAACCCATTATTTGTAAGGTCCGCTTCCAAAAAACCATAATACATAAGGTTAAAACTTTATCACACAAACGTTCATGTAAAGTTCCATAACCATTTCAGTTGAAGTTTAGCAGGGATTATAAACAATTTATAACCATTATCGGTAAGGTCATGTGATGGTTCGCGTTTATGCGGGCAGCTCTGGTACTCTCTTCGGTCCCAAGCTTATCGATGCACCCCTCGAAACATAGGAAAATCCACGAACCCCTCATTTTATCTGTCAACTTTCATATAGCGAATCAAAACAAACATAGTGTAGTACTAGAATTTCGACTAGAATGGGGTGCGCTTATAGACGTACTTATGACCAATATGTAGTCAAGTAGTGAGCCAATTTTAAATCGTTAGGTTCCACCGGTTGGTATTACATTCATTTGTCTCATATCAATAACCTGCGTTTTTGTTATGTCGTTTTCGTTTTTGTGGTGTAGCTACACCGGTGCTACACTGCCGAACACCGAAAAAAATTAGGGTGTAGCTATCGGTTGCACCTTTGTTTACAAAGAAGTGATGATGAACTGTCAATGACTCGCACTTATTGCTGCTTACACTACACCGGTGTAGTGTAGTAAAAACGAAAACGACATTAATTTGAGTGAAAACCGATTCAATTTTGAGTGATCTCATCGACCGTGTTCTAAAAAAAGCGTTATTGCGTACCAAGTCTCTTCCAAGTCAAGCCATCGTTCTCTATCACTGAAAAAACTTTATTTTGACAACCTGAAAATTCTTTGTTTTCCATTCTACTTTTTCCTCTTCTTCTTAAGTGCACTCTTCAGCAATCGTGCACATGGCTCTGTTGTGAATCAGTCGCATTATTTATTCACTGAAATAATATTTTGGATTAGGTATCTTCCAAAATGCCGAAAGTACGAGCGGAAAAGAAATCCCGTGTCCATACGGATGTGGCCAAACAAGGTAAGCTGTTCTTAAATGTTCCGCCATTGGAAGCACTAATCAATGGTATCCACTCAGGCATCGTTTTCAACAAGGACTTCGGTCAGCACATCCTCAAGAATCCGCTCATTGTCACATCGATGCTGGATAAAGCCGGCTTACGTCCTACGGATGTGGTGCTGGAAATCGGTCCTGGTACCGGTAACATGACGGTAAAGCTGCTGGAAAAGGTCAAGAAAGTGGTTGCTTGCGAAATCGATCCTAGGTTGGTAGCGGAACTCCAGAAACGTGTACAGGGTACACCGATGCAATCGAAGCTTCAGATCTTGATCGGTGACGTGCTGAAAGCGGATTTACCTTTTTTCGATTGTTGCGTTGCTAACATGCCGTACCAGATCAGCTCGCCGTTTGTGTTCAAACTGTTGCTGCATCGGCCTTTCTTCCGGTGTGCGGTGTTGATGTTCCAGCTGGAATTTGCTCAGCGATTGGTTGCCAAACCCGGAGATAAGCTTTATTGTAGATTGAGCGTCAACACACAGCTGCTAGCCCGCGTGGACATGTTGATGAAGGTGGGGAAGAACAACTTCCGACCGCCGCCGAAAGTGGAGAGCAGCGTGGTAAGAATTGAACCGCGAAATCCTCCGCCTCCGATCAACTACACCGAATGGGATGGCCTAACGAGGATAGCTTTTTTGAGGAAGAATAAGACCCTGGCTGCGGCATTCAAGCACACCTCGGTTATGACAAATTTGGAGCAAAATTACAAGATGCAATGCTCGCTGAAGAATCAGGACGTTCCAGAAGGGTTCAACATTAAGGAGATGGTGGAAGGGATATTGCAGAAGATTGATGCCAGCAGCAAGCGAGCAAGAACGATGGACAGTGATGACTTTATGACGGTTCTACATGCATTCAATACGGAAGGAATTCACTTTAGTTAAAGTGGGTTGGTTTTGGTAGTATTTTGCTAAAGGAATAGTTTAATAGGTACATCTCATCGAAAATGTTATACACATACAAGAATAATAAACATTGTTTCATGTAAATAACCGATAAAACACCTTGATTGGATTTTTAAGAATAGAAACACTCGTAACTCTGATACTTCAAAGATTGACTATGCAGCGCCTATTTGTAAAATCGGGATGAATAACTGGAAAGCGTTCTGAACGTATGAAGTACTATTGGATCCCTGTAAGTTGAAAAATGTGGTTAGATAAATCCGGTGTGATGAATAATGGGGCATTGTGTTTACCTCTAAGAAAATATTCGTTATCAGCGCATTATCACTGTCTTCGCCAGTAGACCGGCGCATTTGGTTATCACCCTTCAGTTTGCTTAGCTCGCCGGAAAATCGTGCAGCCACTCCGCTCAGATGCCAGCAGAAAACCGTAGTCAACTGAACCAAGGCATCGGCTTCGTTCGCTGTACTGTGATGATCGAGTATCAGCAGAATTTCGGCTAGTTTGTGCATTCGTAGCACGCAGAGAGCCGTTGTCTGAGCGAGTGCATGCATGGCTTTTTCGAAAATTGTCTGCGATGTTCGCGGGGACGACTCATCTTCAACCCAGTCGAGATTATCTTGCCAACATTTGAGCAGATCTTCGAAATTTACCTTCACTTCGTCCAGATCTGTCACGGCTTCTTTGAGTTTTTGCTCTAATTCTATGACACTGTGCGTGCCATCCGGATCGTCGTTCTCCGAATCGGGCAGTTCGCATAGTTCCTTCACCTCATTCATGGTTTCCTGTAGGTCTTCCAGTGCTTTGCCGGTTAATGGAGTCAGTAAGGAGTCCAATTTTAAGGATGCCTGCTTTGAAAGCATCTCTAGCGCTTCCAAGTGAACCAATCCATGGTAATCATCGAAGAGGGTTTCGAAGTGTAACTTCTTCTTGTAGAGATGCTTTTGGACTTGCTTCAAATTCTTTTCCCTTTCCTCAGTTTTCTCCTTCGCTTCACGAAGAACCTGACTCAGTATGACTCCATCGTTCATTCGCTTGCTCAACAGACCGGGATCGTTCTCTTGTAGAATTGTCATCGTCTTTTTGCCAATTCCTTCAAGCGTATCTAATCCTCCGGTGATTACTTTGCTACTGATTTGCGTTACGCCCGAAACAATCTGGTCGAATCCAAAACGGTCCGTTGTAGCACTCGGTGCCACCCGTGGATGTTGGTCCTCTTCCGGAACGTAACCATCCTCTTTGAGTTTGGCTTTCTCCTCCGCTTGACGCTTGGCAAGCTCTTCCGGATTAGGGACACCGATTCCGGATTCAATCGCCTGCAAATATATATATGAATATGTATATGAAGTATATTTAAAATCTAAACCATACCTGAGAAATGTTGGTTGTAATCGAGGCGACACTTTTCGACGCTGATGACAGGAACGACACGGCAGCCCCTCCCCAGCTTGGTTTCCATCCACCCCATGATTGACCGGTCGCCGATTTATCCGCATCCTGATTGGACAATCGATCCAGCACTGAACTCACCGGCGGATCATCTTGACCTTTCATAAAATCCTTCAGCTTGTTCTCCACCTCATCAATGTCCACATCCTTGTAGCTGGTTTTCATTTGAGGCTTGTCATGGACAACCTCCTTCGGTTTTTCAACTCCCGAACCGGCTTCCACACTAAAATCGCCCCAATCGTTATCAAAATCCTCCCAACCATCACCAGATGTAGCTTCAGCTTTAACACTAGCTTCCTGTTTAGTTTGCTTCTTTTCCTCCACATTCCCTATCACCAGCTTTGTCTCCTTCAGCCTTTCTTTATCGGGTTTGATGATTTTCTTTACTCCACTCTTTTTCGGCTCATCTTTTGATTTACCCAGCGAGTCAACGCCACTGCCATCATCTTCAGTCAGCTTCCCGCTGGAGCTGTTGCTGATAGGTTCCACGTCAGACTTCGGCGCAGGAGGAAGGGCGTCAGCTTTCCTGCCGATCTGCTGTGGTTTCTTCGTATCTTCGAAATCTTCATCTGCACTCTCGAACTCCTCGTTATCGGAATCACACATTTTCGCTTAAATTGATGAAAATTCGTGCAAATAATTAACGCAAATTGCCGTATAAGAAAACTGAAAATCTGAAACTACGACTGTTCGCGAAGATTTTTTCGATTATTTCATCAGACAACAATTAACTGTCATGCGATACGATGTTGATATATTTGCGTCGTCAGAGACAGAGATCTGCACGCTATTTCAAAAGAAACCAAATTTGGGGAAAAAAAAAATCACCCAGATCGCTTAAAACTGCACATTTGTAAAAATGGGTAAACTATGTTGGGAGTGACAAGTTGACAAATGAACTCTCGCGTCACTTTTCAAATATACCAATGTAACATATCCACCATTTTGAGAAAATCGAAGTTGAAGTTCGACAGATTATTATTTCAACTGTTTAAAAACAATACATTTTGCAATACTATTTTTAATGTAGTCAGTGTATAATAACGTTGAAAATTCAGAAGAAACGGTAAAATCACAATTTTACTTTGAATTTCATGCTACAACATAGAAAAAACCACATAGGACGTTTTGACAAGTCGAGTTGTACATCGGACATGTTACATTGGACGATTTTTCTCAATGACATAATCAATGAGTGTTACATTGGACGTTTTGTCTACTTGATATTAGATTCCCTTTCACAGATTTCAGAGTATAGTACCTAACTTTAGATTGGCCCCGCCTTTGGAAAATGAGCACCAATCATGTTAGGCAGTCCGAATGACCGAAGTAACAATCATATACTCATCATTTCAAACTGTACATTGGACAATTTTTGATCGATGATTTTCTTAAATAAATGAAAGTAAATTTGGATGGGTGTTTTTGTATCACATACAATGATAGAAGAGCAATAGCTTGTATCGCTTAACTCGATTTGTTTACATTTGTTACATTGGTCTATTTGAAAAGTGACTGCGAGAACTGCATCGACCTGAATCCGAACGATGTTGTTCAGTTGTCAACCCGTCTCTCTCCAACTTGACTTACCCATTTTTAAGAATTAGTTTTGACCGAGCTGGATGGATTCTACTCAAATTTGGGAAGTTTTGATGCGATGCGTGACACATAAAATCGATTTTCGCATCAGCTTCAACCGGGAACGTGCTAACGCTACTCTTGAAATAATGACATTTCACTGTTGTTTTTGATGAATGGCGCAGCGCGGCATGTGTTTTTATTTACATGTGCTGCACATTATCCACCTAAAATTTCCCTAGCATATTTAAATTTGACTTTAATCATTATCAAACAATAGTAAAAACCAAAATGAAGCGTAAATCGGAAACCGGAAACAAGCCAGCGTTCGTGAAGCGAAAAGTTGAAATTGTGTTCGATCCAACCAAGCGACAGTGAGTATCGAAAGTTAATTCATTATCAAAATCCCTTCTTATAATGCACCTCGTTCCGCAGAGAATTTCTAACCGGATTCCACAAGCGCAAAGTGCACCGGAAGAAGATAGCCAACAGCCAAATCGAACGCAAGCTAAAAGAGGAAATACGCCGAATCCGCCATGCCGCCAAGGATAACGTTAAAAAACTGTACCATTCGTACAAACCGATTCCGGAGTTGACTGCCGAAGACCATGAGGAAGAGCAGGAGTATGATACCGAAAACGTAACGGTGAAGGTGGTGGAATTATCCACCACGGATCTGGCAAAGCAGAACAATTGGATCGGTGAGAACCGGGCAGTCGTGCGCGGCGAAGTTGACGAGGAAGAGGAAGAAGACGAATCGTCCAGCGAAGATGAAGAGACGGTCCTGGATACGGTTCCCGGTATGCAGCTTGCTGGCGAGAAGCCGAAAAAGAGAAAATTTTCCAGAAAAAACGACAGCGAAGAGGACGAACGTCAGGATCAGGAGGAAGAACCGACCTCTAGCACCGGAAAGCCGAAACCGCGCGGTCCGGTTTTGAACCTGGAAGGTATCAGTTCGAAGAAGGAACTGAACAAAAAGCTCAAACGGCATGCCCAAAAGTCGATGTTGAAGAGCAAGGCCTTCCAGCGGTCGGTCCGGGTGCAGCAGCAGAAGCAGTTGAAAAAATCTCGCCGAGTGCGACATTTCAAAACCAAACATCTGGAGCGGAAAGGAAAATTGACCGACGGTGAAAAGCAAGGAAAGGGGAAAAAGCGCGGTAAGGGAAGGGATTAGTTGGAAGGTTTGGTTGATGATAAAATAAAGTAATGTTAGTAATTTATGTTCATTGAATTTACTTTCAAAAAGTTACGAAATGACTTTGATTTCCAATTTATGTGTGTGTGTGTGTGTGTGTGTACAATCTAACCCCCACTGTCCGGCAGTGTTATTATGGAAGAAAACTGCTTTTTATTACCCTTAAATTAAAGCAGGTTTAGTCCGGGAGTTAGAAGGTGTTAGCTCTATTGCAGCTCCAGTGACCCATTTCAGAATGCCTGGTAATTCACGACCACTCCGAGGTCACTTTTACTTACAATAAGCCCCGCATGTTCACTCTACCTTTATCAAATGGATAATGGTATCATAAACACACTTCCAGATTCAAAAAATATTATTTCCAAATCTGGCACGTATATAGTTTTGAAATTTGTTCAACTGTATTAAATCGATTTGAATGGACATTTCTTACCAATTTTGTTTCGAATACCTCTTGATTCATCTGCTGGCAGCACTTACTGGCCCTTACCGGCGACCAACCCTTACTCAAATGCTTCAACTTCCCGGATGGCGGCCCGCTTGATTCACTCCATCTTGATGACCTTCTGTTTGCCTATCAGCCTCTTCCACTTTTCGTCCTTCAGATACAAATCCGGAATAAGATCTTTTTTTTTACACCATCAATTTTAGAGTTTTTTTTAATCGTTCAAATTGATAAAAACCATAAAAACACAGACTTTTTTTTAGCAAAATCAAAACACGTCATTTCCCGGCCTTCGTGTTCTTTTTATAGACTATAATTATTTTTAGGTTGCAACTCACGGTGAACTCGGACGGGGAAAATAAAAACTTGAAACGCCCGGACTTATTGACTGTTTACAGAGTACTCAATGACTTTGATTTCCAATTTATGGTTGAAAAATGCGTTTCGTACGTAAATGATGCCATGGGTGAGTTCGCAAGTCATAGGGACCTAATTGGAAGATTGCCGCAAAAGCTCAACGCAGATGTCGCCACTGCATGATGATGATAATGTTGACAGACTGCTTATAAAATTCGTGAAAATTAGCATTAAATTATAATTTTCATCAAGCCTACGTGAAATCCTTCCAATATAACATTCGAATTGAAGAAGAAAACGTTTTTACGATCAGACTGATGTGCATCTTTGACTTTTTCAGGTGAACTTTCAAAAGATATATTCATTTCATTTCACAGCTCCATCAATGCTGCATCGTAAATATGATGGTAAACAGAAGTAAATTGCTCAATTACTCAAAATAAAGATGATTTGTCATCCTGTTATCACTTTGAAGACCATCTAGCATCATTTTATAGCATGGTGCGTGTTAAGTAAATCAAGTTCCGGTTCGTTTTCCGTCGAAAATTGTGAGTATCAATATGTTTGCTTAAAAAAGGCCAAAATGAACATTTATTGAATATTGGCGTCCTATACAACCAATTCTCTATTACCACCAGCATGATACAACCTTTCCTAAGTAAATTCACTTAATTTCCACTTTCATCTTAGTGAAAATCGCACATATTTACCATTTTCTGAAAAATGCAGCTGCGCAGGAGGTAACCTCTCCCTGTGGGTGCAAACTTGTTATGCATAATTTTCCATGAAAACATCTCCGATCCATACCGAAATAATAACAAATAGTTTTCAAACACGTTTTCTTACACGATTCAAGCAAAAGTTTCCACGGGAAATTATTAGTTTTTCTTTATGGACCGATTTGCCCCAAAAAGCGTCTGTTTTACTTGGGAAATTTGGAAACTATCCTCCTTCTAGTAGTTCTCACTTCGAAATGTAGGTGGCGAAAGCTTGGAAAAGTTTCGCTGCAAGACGCCAATTGGGTATTACTCTTCTACCAAAATATACCAGTGACGCTTTTCTCGACATACATAATAGAGAGATTTTGACGATACACGGTCTACACTGATTGACGACAAATAAACAAATTGCTAAACAGATTTGGGGTCATCCCTAAAACGGTCTACGTAGTTTATTAACAGCCCCTACAGGAATTAAAAAAAATGCAAATTTCCAAGATTCTTAGCGAAATTTGTTATTTATAAAAACTTCATATTAGTCTTTTTAAATATAGGATTCAGAAAAATACAAATAATGTGGAATTTTGGAAAATTTATAAAATCCACCACTGGACTCGGCGTGTCAGCACCTTCAGCACTAGCTGATCATTGACGACCAAAATCGCTGATACGAAACATCAGCAGACAATATGCCGCCAGCACCGCAGCAACATGTTGGTGGTCCGAAACAAAGTGCAGCCAGTCATAGCAACACAAAACTTAAAGGAAACAGCACAATGTGGTCTTCCGGAGGCAACGAAATCATCGAGAATAATCTCTCTTCTCACGATATCGCGTCGTACTCCATCGACAGTGCGATTATCGTCTTGGTGTTGCTCTGCGTCTTGGCGTGGAAATGGCACAGCAATGCAATGCATCACAGCTGGAATCTAGAGGCAATGTGGGCGGAAGAGGAACGGAAATGGAAAGTTTGACAGTTGTCACAAATGACAATAAGATGCCTAACCTAAAGAGGCTGAATTCAGTCTCTTTAGCCAAACCGAAATCGATTTGGTTCTAACTAGTTTTCAATCCGACTAGTAGCCTTACTGAGATAGGGGCTTTTCATTACATTTTCATTACGTCGAAAGTAACAAAGGTAAACAAAGTCGAGCTATCAGTGTCAATCGATGCTCCTGCTATTACCTAAGAGGAAGAGGTGACAATTGGCTTCTTCCTCTTTTATTTCTATCTCTATCTCTATATTTATCTATCTCTATCTCTATCTTACGCACATGAAATCGGCCAATCAGGAGCTGGTTCACGTTTGACAGAAAAGCGGTTAATTTTCGCCCCCGTATTGTCACCTCTTCTCTTAGGCTATTACACCACCGACAAACCGACATGAATGACCATAGCAAAAAACAATAAAATTTCTGACCAAAGCACACTACTGACATCTGGCTGAGCTCCGTGTTCGCGGGAAATATTTAGCTAAGCCATGAAATCCCATGCAAAAGTTATGAATTGGTTCGTGTCTGATCTATTCTGGACAAATTATTTTTATCTAGATCAAATTTTTTTTATGGTTTTGACAGTTCGGATCACTGCACATTTAAATCAGCAGGTTAACGATTTTCGGGCATAAGTCAAAATTAAGTGTCATGTCGGTTTGTCGGTGCTCCAATCCCAAACGCTCCCTTCAAAATGATTCTATAACATTCCCCAGAAAACCATTCCCCAGAATGCACCATTCCCCAGAAAAGCATTCCCCAGAAAAGATGATGACATTAGTAATTTTCACTTTTATTTTTGTTTACTATTGATTATACACTACGTTTACTTGTATGGAACTATGTATTTATCAATTCCAAACCATTTTATAACTATTTAGGCCGTTCGCAATGCTGTTGTATTTTATAAGGACCGTTTCAATTTGAAACTAGAACAGAAACGCACCTCTCGCAATGCTGAGTTGCAGTTTCATTATTCGAGCACTATTTTGCACCAGATTTGCAACTGCTCGACTATTCTGTTTTATTTCTGAGCGATTTTGAAACACGAATGGAACTCTGTTTCAAATTTCTTTGGATGTGTTGAAGATGTTTCGAAGAGCTCCACAAATAAAAAACGGAGAACTTCATAGAGAACAGTAAAGTTTATGGAACTTGATGATAACAAACATGTTTTAGAACTGTGCGTTGCGCTGATCGTGTTGCAGTTTTATTTTTGACAGTTTCAAATTATAGAATTGACGAGTAGTTTAAAACAATTTTGAAACTCAGTGTGGTGTTTAGCTTTAGCGTGCACCTTCTATGCGTACGCACACATGTCAAACATCGGTCATCTTCGTGCGATGTTTTCCGTGAACATTGCTAACCAGCGATCAGAGAAATAAACGATCGAACAGTTTACGTTCAAACGCCCAACCTACTAGTTCAACATTTCTCCTAGTCCGAAAGTATATCTTTTAGTTAAGTCTGTTAACAGTAGGATACAAGAACATAAAAGTGGCGACGACGGTGAAAATCGCGAATAGTGATAAAGTGCGAATGTTTAGTGGTCGGTAAATTTATTCCCCGACGGACAAATTCTCCTGTCAGCCATCAGTTTCGACGCGCTTCACTGGTCGAGGTACAGCAGCACATCAAACAGAAGAGGATTTTCGCTTTCTGGTCGTTATTTTTTACATTAACATTACCAGCTGACCGAAGACAGTGGTGATAAATAATATTATAGTGTTTTTATCACTGGTTCACATTTTTGGAGTTCTCGAAGGTACTTCTGCAGGCTGTAAAGTCCCGGTAGTACCGGTCGAGAAGCAGTAAAAGCTGCTGGAGCGTTCCGCAAGAAATCAACCCAGGATCGGTTTTTGGATCGTTTCCGATATCTGCTGAAACCAAGGGCGACTGAAGGTCGGTACAGAGACAAATTAGCTAGGTGAGTTTTTGTTTCACTATTTTCTTTGTGTGAAAATATTCATAAAGCGATAATTGAATTTCCTTTTGTTAATTGGATTTTATTGTATTTTGGTCTTCTTTGTTTAAATACCGGTTGTTTTATTGAATTTAAATTGTGGTGTGTGCTGCTGCCATTTTGATTAGTTTTTTTGCCATTTTGCTCTGGATTATAAAATTTAACTTTCATTTACTAAGGATTGCCTTCTTGTCTTCTAATTAAAATCATTTGTTGGTGTCCATTTTCCTTGGAAATAGGATTTTAATATGAGCGCCAATATGGCTTTTTCTATGGAACCATACCGGAGAGGCAATTCATTTAATGATTGGTTCACCCGTCTAAAATATTTTTTCCGGGTGAATGGTGTGAAGGACGACGATAAAATGGCGTACTTCATAACCCTCAGTGGGCCAACAATTTTTGAAGAGATCAAATTGTTGTACCCTGCAGGGAATTTTGAAGAAGTTCCTTTTCAGGATTTGATTGCTAAGTTGAAAAATCGCTTAGATAAAACTGAACCAGACTTAGT